TTCTACCACCTCCACATCTTTATTTTAAGAACTCGTTCTCTTTTAAATTACAGTCAGGATGGATTTCCCCACCCCTCTCCCAAGCAAACCACAGGCCACCCAGACGAGCTCTATTTGCACATTTTAAGGAAGAAAATAAAATAATAACAATAATGAAACCACAACATCTTTTGTTTTCGATGGTGCTCAGATGCATCTCTTAACAGAGCAGCTGTGCTTCTGTGGCATTTAAAAAAAAACAACACTTTCAATCTAGTTTTGAGGCATTGTAAATTTCACTTCAGCACTGAGGTTTCTTACCCAACCAGCCCAGGAAGGCAACTGAACTTGCCGTGCCTATCTCGAGTTTAGGGTTTGGGGCTAATTAAGTTCATCTCCAGGGGTTTCTAGCTCCTTGTTGCAGATGTTGTCGTTTTAAGCTTTGACTTTCCTCCTGGAAAGTAATCCATCACCTCGGACCCACCATCACGGAGTACACCCCAGCTCGCTCGCTCTCTCTCGCTCTCTCTCACGCTCTCGCTTTCTCCCTCTCTTTTGCACGAAAGGGTTTTCTTGCCCAGCTCCCCGCAGCCGGGACAGAGGTGCTATTTCCAGCAGCTGCAATGGAGGGAGGTGATGGCCCGAGGGCACCCTGAGCCCTGGGCGAGAGGCAGTTAAACCAGCCCTATTTCCAGCCAGAGGAGTGACCAGCATCAGGCCACTGAGATGCTGCAGTGGAGGCAGGCGTTGCAAGCAAAGGTTGGGGATCCTGGCCGGAGACCGGTCGGCGGGAGGGCACGGCCCCTGCAACCTCATGGGCCTCAGAAAAGTCACTAGCGCGCGAAAGGGCGTCACTCTTTCTAGGGTCGCTTCCAACTTTGCTGCAATTCCGATTGGACTGGCCCCATTCCAACCGCGGCCCAGGTCCAAACTCCGGGGTCCAGGGGATGCATTCGGGACTCACCCCAGGCCGCCTACCCCCGAAGAAGGCGCGACCCTCGGGGTGGGCGCGGGGTGCAGAACTGGGCGGCCTGCGGGCCCTCCCGGTTTCCCGGGGTGTCCACGACCCGCATTCGCAGCACTTGGAGGCCAGGTGTGCGGGGGCCGGCGGGGCGAAGGCGAGACTGGGAAGTCGGTTTTCCCGCGGATTCCCACCCGAGCGAGCCTCACGGCTCCTTCCTCTCTTATCCAGCAAGGTCGGCGGCTCGACTCTAAATTGCGCCTTGGCCCGCGCGCCCAGGGCCCTCCCAGGCGCTCGGCTTCATTGCGCCCTGGCCGATCTGGAGCGCCCGGAGGGTAACTCGAAAAGGGACACCATTGGAACGACCCCCTGCCTACCCCTCCCCACCCCCACCCCCAACACACACACACTCTCTCTCTCTCTCTTCCCCAGGCCCAGGCCTCATTTCTCCCCGCCTCTTGCCCTCGTGTGAGCCCGCAAGCTCCCCTCCTCCTCGCTCCCCACCCTGCAACCGAGAAAGCAGCAGGAAACCCGGGCCCGCCGGAGTGCAGGCCACCTCCTGTTTTGTTGATGGGCTCCAACTCGGACTAAATGAGCGGATGTGCCTGCGAGATTGGTCTCAAAATAGAAGCTGCCTTAGTATTTTAGGATACTGCCGAAATCCTTATTTCTTCCGGAGAAAAACTCTATAATGACTCCTAGCACTTCCCCTTTTCATATTTGTGCAACTTTATCTCCACCGACAAGTTGCTCGGGTGACGCAAATCCGCCCCTGTGTATTGCAACGACCAAAATAAATGCGCGGAAATCTATCCCCTTCGAGCAAGGAAAATATAAATATGCAGCTGCGACTTTCCCCTTTCATCTTGGCTTTCCGAGCGGCTCAGAACGAGCTGGTGGAAGAGCAATTGAGCGGGGCAGGCGGGCGGGCTGGCAGGCTCTGGGGGCAGAGGCGAGGGCTCCCGGGCCTGGGCGCCACAGCTGCCCCCAGGAGTGAAGAGGACCTGAATGAACTGAATGAACTTGAGCTTAAACGTGGCTACGATGTCTTTGGGGGAAAGCTCATTTGTAAAGATGATTTCGTCTAACCCGGCATAGCTGCACCAGCAAAGCACAACCCACAATAAGAGCGATGGAAAGAGTTCTTTATACTGAAAGGTTCATCATTAAACAGCTTTTGCAGGGGTTGCTGGTCAATTCTGGTGACTGTCTTTAATGCATATGATACTCCCTTCTATATTCCTGGGTAGACACAGCTAAAGTATTACCCCACCCTGGGGATGCAAGGTGCCATCTTAGGTCGGTTTTATAACGTAACAATGTGATCTACGAGGATTTAGGGTCGGAAGGAGGGGCCTACGTCAGAGGTGTATGCATTGCTTGAAGCGAGAGATGGATCCCATCACCCTTGGGTTGTCTTCAGAGCCTCCATACTTAAATCAGTGCAAATTCTTGCCCTAAATCTGGGGACCCAGATAACACACCATTTGAGCATAAAAGCTCAACGAGAGTAAATGCTAAGCTTTGCTCATCACAGTCACAGAACCCTGCAAGGGCTCAGCTGTCTGGATCTGCTCTCTGCTTTTGTCTTTTCTTATAGATTCTGGGCAAAATAACGTATGAGGCCGTTGCTCTATAGAACGAGACCCCCCCCCCTTTCATTTTAAATATTCTTTCAAATATGGTGCTTTCTGGTTTCCAAGAAAGAGATGGAAACAATTTTATCTCCACAGTGAGGAGGAGAAAGAGACACAGCACACGCAGCCGTGTGAGGATATGAGAGATGTTCGGCCATGTTGGCATCCGCATATATTCTGCCAGTCACTCCGCCAGCTGAATGAATGCTGGGCCCAGTGCTAGGGTTTCGTGGTAGATGTGGGACTTCTGTGCCTTGTGGATGTCAGATATTGTAGTTTAGGACTCTAGAGACTCCCCCACTATCTCCCCCATCCCCACACACACTCTTTGGATTACACTAAGTAGGCTACCACTTCCTTTTCCTGGAGACGTTAGTATTCCAGAACTATTAGTATATTGAGTTCCTGAGTTTGGGGAAGATAGACTTTGATATGGGGTAAGAAAGGCAAACAACAGTGTGACAAGACCACAAGGTCCAAAGTCACTTGATTTAGTCCTTTTCCTTTTTCTGATCTCCCAGGTGTGGCACATTCACAGGCGGCATCTCTTTATGTGGCCACAGCCCTGCCCTTGACCCCTGGGGCACCAGGTCCCAGCATCCCCTCCATCCCATGAGGAGCCCACCGAGGACCAAAAGTCGGTTCTCTGCTGACACCTGCTGGGCCATCTCGGCATTGCTGTCTGGCAGCTGGCAGCCTTGTGATGCAAGCAGGCTCTTTCTTTGGAGAAAAGGCGGGTTTGTATGATGTGTTTAAAATCGCCGGACGGGGTGAGGGGAGCTGTCACCCTTCAGTAGTAACAACTAACGTTTGACAGATCTCAAGGCCCGTTTACCCGTTTACGTGTGCTATCGCCAGCAGAACACAGCATAGGGACGCAGAGGCGATTTGAGTTTATCATCGTGATTTCAGTTTAGGAAGTTGATCCTCAGAGAGGTTAAGTGGCCTGCCCGAGGCTGCCTCGTTAGGAAATGGTGTTCCAAAGAGATCAGGCCACACTTTCTGACTCACCAGCCAAAATTCCACCCCTCGGCCAATCTCTTTAGGGCAGTGGTTCTCAACCTTCCTGATGCCGCGACCCTTTAATACAGTTCCTCATGTTGTGGTGACCCCCAACCACCAAATTATTTTCGTTGCTACTTCATCACTGTCATTTTGCTACTGTTATGAATCGTCATGTAAATATCTGATACGCAGGATGTATTTTCATTGTTACAATTTGAACATCATTAACGCATAGTGATTAATCACAAAAACAATATGTAATTATAGATGTGTTTTCCGATGGTCTTAGGCGACCCCTGTGAAAGGGTCGTTCAACCCCCAAAGGGCTCTCGACCCACAGGTTGGCGACCCACAGGTTGAGAACCGCTGCTTTAGGGGAAACAGTTTATTCGGAAGGAAATCTCTCTGCCCTCAGTCAGGATATACATTGGTTCCAGGCAAAGGGGCTGGGGAATGGAACTCTATCCCACAGATGGTCCCGGGAACACTGTTCAACAAGGGCAGGTCGGCGACCACATCATTCATTTGTGTCTCGAGGTATTAGGAAGACCCTAATTCACACTGGGGCTCGCCAGGTTTCTCTTCCCTTCCTCCCAGTGGCCATTTTGATGGAGAGGAGACAGAAGGGAGTTCTGAGAATGAGAACTCTGTGTGGGAGCACTGGACACGGGTTCCCTGCCGGCTGCTAAAGAGGGAGATTGGAGGTGGCGTTTTAGAGTTTTTAAAGTAGGGTCTGTTCTCTCTGTCCACGTCTGTTGAAAGTGTGAGAAGGGAGAAGAGCTAGGTACTCCACACCCTGGAACCCTGCCCACCAGCACCCAATAGTTTTGTAGGATTTCAATGCCCTAGTTCAGTGG